TTTTTTTTTTTTTTTTTTTTGTGAGAGAGAGGAAATGGGGATAGAAACATCTCTACTATTTTTTTAAGGACAAATTATTACATCTTGCCCAGAACAAGTTAAATTAAGACCTCTGCTAGAAATTCTTTGTATCCTTGACTTGATGATGGGGAGAGCATCTTCACAGCAACTTGCGTGGCATCTACAAAGCCATGATATACAGTTCCAAATCCTCCTTCCCCAATAACTTTCTGAAAATTATTGGTGATTTTCAGGACCTCTGAGTATGTAAACTGAGGATTCTTAATGTCTAACGCAGTTCGATTTAATCTGCTATAGTAGGAACCCGTCTTCCTCATCACTAACACCACGAAAATCGACAAATGGTGAATTAAAAAGGGAAAAAACAAAAAAATGTTTTACTTTAATAGTCATCAGATATGTTTATCTACCCATTTTTCTTCTCCTTCGAATCATCCACAGGGTAACTAACACAATTAAAAGAACAAATGCCGAGACAAGCACCGATGCCAATGTTGTAACTAGAGCATTATTGCTCTTCTTTTTACAGTGAGACTGGCATGCATCTGTACAGTTGCTTGGATAATCAATACTGTTTATGACAATAATAGAAATAGGGGTTACCAAAACTCAGTATAAATCATTTGTAGTCAACTTCAAAATAAACATTCAGTAACTACCATATATGCAAACATGAGAATAGAACTCTAATTGCTTTCTCTAGTTCAGAAGAAAAAGGTCTTTGCTATTAAAAGTATTACATATCAATCTAAGGTTTATCTTGTTGACATTCACATAAAGTCTTCCATCAAGAAATTTAGAAGAGCTAAGCAATACTCACGACAAAACCAATGGATATAAAGTTGCTCAAGTTTTACTACGAAATCGAGTTCTAAAATATTGAGCTACTTTATATAGCCAAGTCTACCTACAAATCTACAACACGTCATAATATCTCTTACATGACATCAATCTATCATTTTATTTCATATGAAAACATCTTATGAAAGAAAGCAAACCTAAGCGACAGCAATCTATCATTAGATTTCTTTAGGAGTTGATCTGGAGTTGGCCCACAGAAGTTGTTTCCTTTCAAGTTCCTGCAACAGAAAAAAAAAAAAGAAAGAATGAGGTGTTACTTGACCAAAATAGAGATGAACGATCAAGTAGTTCCAGTTCCGAGAAAATTACAGGACTTTCAACGAGTCTAGTTCAGCTAGAAACTCTGGGACCTTTCCAGTAAGATTATTATTGGACAGATCCCTGAAAAGAGAAAAAAGGAAAGATCATTTATCATAAAATGGTCAAGTAGTTGGGGACTAATTACATGCATCGTGTGATGACTTTCATCAGATTTATATACTTACAATAATTCAAGCATTGTGAGGTTGGATATGTAAGGAGCTATTATTCCGGACAATCCGCCAAAGGACAAGTTCCTGATGTAATTATTAGTACAGCATAAATTGAAAGTTACTTCAGGCATTTAATTGCATAATTTTGGTTTTATTCATCAAAGAGAAAAAGAATGTACATACAGTGATTGAATTCTGGGGGTCTGTACATTATTATATTTGCAGCTGAGACCATCCCAAATGAAAGTTTCAGGAGCACAAGGATCACCTTGCCAGTTTCTTGTCAGTCCATACACAGACTTGATGCTTAATATGGCATCAACTTCATACCGTAGACCAATAAAAGACATAAAATAAACATGAAAAGAAAATTCTCAAATACAGAGTTCAAATAAGAAGAGTAACTTGAATATATATACGTATTTGAATCCAAAAGGAACATACCATCTTTCTCATCTGTCTGTGAGTGTGAGAAATCTTTCACAGCATAAATTTCCACGGCACTGATGATTGGTGGGAGAGTTGAATTAGCAGCTCTATCTAGCGTGACTACATACTTGGAGCGACCGGTCACTGTGTACCACTTGTTGGCGTATATTACACGCGAGGATAGATATGTAGGAGAAACTAGCCCATGCCAGAAAACCCTATTCACTGAGATGTTGAATCCTCTGTATTCTTTTTGTTGTAGCGCTTGCAATTCAGCAAAGTACAAGTACATGTAAAACACATCATTGAGATTATTAGATACCCAATCGAAAGAAATAGAGTCATTATTATTCTCCGGGATGATGGCAGAACTCATGACAGCAGACGGTGGCCTAAAATAGTCGGCAGGGTTATAAATCGTATAACTCGTCCTTATTGTGGTACTGTTGGCTGGAGTCGAGGGCTTCCATATGCGATCATAAATATCATCTTTGTACCTATGAAAAGTTGATTTATTATTAATTTATGGAAGTAAACACATGTATACTATAGAAAATACTAAATTGAATGTTTAAACAAAAGAATACAAGCCTACACAAGCAATGTGACTCACCTTATAAATCTCTCAGATGTTGGGGCAAAATTCAATCGTGCAGTGAGTTGTAGAGTTTTATTTTCTGTCGTGTACATGATTCTAGTCAAAGGCCTCAATTCTAAACATGATATAAAGGGTGTTGTTGATCCCCTTTTTACAAGGCAAACATGAATATAATCTGATGAAGGAATGTGTACAATCTCCTTCCTCAGTGGAGTGGATTCATTTTCTAATGTAACTGTGTCCCATAAATCAACTCCTAGATGCAGATCAAAAGTTGGCAATTCACCCCTAGAATCGTAATTTCTGTACATAAAACTTGTTCTTAACAAATACTTGTTACCCTTGCCTAGAGCAGGTCTTAGGGTATAGCAGTTTCTGGTTCCTTGAGGAAAGCTTCTGAGATATAAGAACTGCCTTTCAAGGGAATTGGTCTGATATGTAACTGATATGCTCTTGCTTACACCACTGTGGACGAAGCCTGCATCTGAACTATATATTATGCCGGTTGTGGGATCGGTGTAATGGGATCCATCAGCTATTCCACAGTCTACACTAATGAATTCTGAGATAAATGAAAAGAGAGAGAGAAAGAGAGTCATCAGCAACAAGATCATCTATAAAACTTCTGAAGAAAAATGGAATTGGAATTTTCATATTTGAACACCTGACTGATCATCCTGTCCACGAATCAAAGTTCCTGTAAGAGCAGAACCAACAATCAGTCCTAGAAAACAATAATTCCACATCTTAATCCACAGAATGCAGATATGCCCAGTGCATATATGTTAGTAACTCATCTTATATAAATCTGATCATGCCGCATTACTTTAATAACAACTAGGGAAAAGAATAATTCAAGCAACTTGGTCAATCATAATCTATACATCTATACCTCATTGTCAACAGGGTACATATGAAAGTCAACTGCCTGAAATCAGGATGTTTAGGTAATTTTACTTGATTGCAACTGGACAGTAGACTTATTTATGGATGACAACACTAGGCTTGTTCGTACATCGGAACTAAGCCCTCGTCTTTAAATGTCAAAGCCTAGGAATTTTACTTGATTGCGACTGGACAGTAGACTTATTTATGGATGACAACGCTACGCTTGTTCATACATCGGAACTAAGCCCTCATCTTTAAATGTCAAAATTTGTTTCCAATGCTGTTGATTGGTTGAGAAAGCTTATTCCTTGCCCAGGTTTTTCCAAATATATATAATCCCATAGCATACCTACCAAGGATTTGAAACTTGGTAATAAATCTATAAATATAATTCCTTGGTAAAAATTTCATCGAGGAATTTAGTATACTATTCTTCACAACTACATGCTGCCACAAAACTTAATTTAATACAAGTGCATTTGGACAACAAAATATGCATACTCTGGTCACTGAGTCTTTAAGTATTGAAAAGTTTAGGCTGTATATAACCATTATACAGATAAATCATAATACCTATTAATTGCTTTTAACACCAATTATTCCGTCCAGGCAACAAGATGTCGAGCTAAACCAGCGGGTTGGAGCCATTGCCTACACCTGCTGCTTCAGAAGAGTTAGTGAGGGACTCTGGAATTGAAAGAGAGAGTTTCCAGAAGCCAATAGACTAGTGCCCTTACTGAAACCAAGCTTCCGACTTACAACTTGAAAGAAACGTGATCTTTTCTTACTTTCAGACAAGTTGGCAATGCAACTAATCCCATAAATTCAATTCCACCCACCAATTTATAAAATACAATGTGACGTAATGTCATAACTACAAGAAAATAAGCATACTGGGAAAGGCAGCAGATGCCAAGGAATAGCAAAACCTCCCTTAAATAATATTCTTTCAATAAAAGAGGTGGAGCACGGATGCATTCATAGGCCTTCGGTATATTTTTTCTCAATGTGTGTATGAGAGAGACTTCAACGGCATATCGGGAAAACAATAGATGACTCGAACATCATTGTTGATGGCAATTCTTAACAATGGATATCTTACAATAAATTGTTGTGCTGGCCAACAAATACATGGATTTCATGGACTCCATAGACATTAAACAGCATTTCCACTTTTTCTTATACATTTTCCACATTCATGTATTTCCTCGACCGTGTTTCTCCCGCAAAATTCGAGTTATTTCCATAAGAACCTGAACTTAATCCAATTCCTCTAGAGAGTCAATTCGAGGGCCTTACAAATTGAATTTCGATTCATGCAGGGATTGTTGGGAAAAAAAAATTTTGAAGGGCTGACTTTGGCATAAATTTTGAGTGAGGCCATTTGTTTATTTTGGAAGATCATGATTGATTTGTATTCTCCTCGGTGAAAACATCGAAATCATATATTTACTTGCCAAAAAATGAAGCTCGGGTGAATGAAAAATTAGAGCTCAAAGTAATGAACTGGAAGATGTTTTGTGTTGAAGGGAAACTAGTTAAAGTTATCCCACATAGAAAAATGAATAAAGACAATGACCACTTTAAATATGATTACACTTTAAAAGGGTGTAAGGGTGTAATCATGTGTAGTATAGAGACTCTCTCCACTTGCGCGTGCAGGAGGGTTCAAATCACCAACCCAAAAAGGTTTCGGACCTTAAAATTGTGTGCTGGTGCAACCTGCGTATACGAATGTCGAATCGAATGGACCAAAAAATTGGCCCTTAGAAGGTCCACATTTTGCCTTTATTTTATTATTTTTCCAAATAAAAAAAACATTTCAAATTCTTTTAACTCATGAAACTCATGTGATTATGCCTGTTTTAAAAGAGAGATAGATAGCCGGGTTAATGGTGGTCAATGACATAACTCATTGGCTGTTAGTTCTCCATTACAGCATATTTATTTAGTAATCTTCATCCCTTACAAACATACGGAAAAATTTCATTTTCTCTTGTCTGCATCCGTAATTTTCATTTTATGTCAAAGTCTTAGTGGTGATACTGTTAAGATACTAAGTCAGTTCGCCGGAGTAGCATCTGCAGTGCTCAGACTCTACTGGTTTTCTGTTATATCCTGGGAAACAAACGCTCGAATTAAACCTCAAGCACCTGCGGTGAGGGGCGAATCCATTTTAAGGAAACTATATTCACACAGGCCTCGGTTTCAAAGTTTGTTGGATTTTATTTCCTAGAATTTATATTACTTGTTCTGTTTTGTATTGTGATTAATAAAATTATTTAATATGTAATATTTGGCTAACATTCGGTTAGTTAGTTGTTCAACTAATATTCGTTTATACAGAATCTGTTCAACTGGTATGCATCCATACGATTAGTTAGTTGCACTGTCGGTATGTGTTCTATTCATACAGTAAGTTAGTTGCACTGCCGGTTGTGTTCTGCTCATACGGTAAGTTAGTTGCACAGCTGGTATGTGTCTAGTCGGTATTTATTCACTATTATTTTGTAATAGTAATATCATTGAAAAATTTCTATCAACTCCTTTTCGATGGCAATTGATATCCATAGATAATCTACATTACATTGTCATGCTAGCCCAGAAATCCATGGATTCATGGCTCCATAGACGTTAAACAGTATGTTCACTTTTTCTTATATTTTTTCCACATTCAAGTATTTCCTTGATCGTATTTCTCTTGCAGAAGATCGAGATCTCTCCAAAAGGACCTGAACTTAATCCTTTTGCTCTAGAGAGACAATTTGAAGGCTTAAAAATTGAATTTTGAATCGCTCTATAATCATCAAAATTTTGTGGCTTGCTTAAATTGGATTATTTATAGTTGACTGTTTTATGCAGCTTAATTCATAACTATTAAATTAAAGATAAGAGTTTATAATGGTTTGATTTAAATTTGTGTTATTAAATATTTCAAATATTCATAGTCTACTCCTCGAAATGTCAATAAAGTTATTATTCAAATATTTTTCCATATAATGTAGCATAGAATTTCTCGAACATTTTTATAAAGATTATCATTTTTAGAGTTGAACTCCATTATTATTTGCTCGTGCACATGGATAGCATTTTGGCATATATTTGGACAAATAACCTATCTATGCGATACTCGTGTTTCACATGTACTGGTGTTAATTGGGATGGATCCATCAGTTTGACTTGCTTACGGGCTGGGGTTGACCCCAGTTTTGTGGCAGGCCAGGCCAGACCTGGTTCCTCACAATTTTCGAGAGTTTGTCTTGATCTGCAGGCTGTCCCAAGATGGGCTTGAACGAGCCTACATTTTTTTTGAATTATATATAATGTCATTTATTTATAAAACATGTAGAATCACTTCAACCTAGAGAAAATTCCTGAAAATGTCCCCTTTGATATGAATTTACAACTACTAACGATGAAATGCCCACAAACCACTGATAGAAAAACATCAACAACACGTGAATATAGAAAATGGAACATGTAAGAACACTAAATTCGTATGAGCATATATCTATGGTCAAACTTTTGAGAATTTATAAGTTGTTGTGTTCATTTTTCCTTTTCAGTATTTCCATAAATGCAGATCAATCAGAACCAAATTGCAGATAAAAATCAACATTTCTGGGAGAAATTAATTTTCACAATATGAGTTTTAACTTCATAAAAATTTACTCCAATGAATAGTTTTTGAGCAACGAACTCTTCTGAATTTATAGACAAGATCTCTTACTCAATCTTCCATGCATAGAGGAAAAGACAGAACCTTGAAGCCTGTGAGTAGCTTATCGTTGAATAGTACTTGCTATCCCCACTGCAATCACTTCCATCGCCATGGCTGCAGCTTTCTTCTTTGTCACTATCCGCCTCTGGTGCACCTGGCTTGAAGATAAACAACGCGTGGTTTGAGCCCGGGATGCAAAATAGCCAAGCATATACGTCCCAAAAGACTTGAACCGGTTGTTTATTAACTAAGATGGTCTGATTGCCCCTGAATTTCCACTGCAAGTTCCGAATATGTATCAAGACAATCCCATCTACGCTAATCCACATTTCGGGTTCTCTAGGCCCTGAAGTCGAGCTCTCTACAACGACGTCATGCTCCTTTTTCCTGTGGTCGAATTTTGCTCTGGTGGAGAAAGATTTCTTCCCAAAAACGTGCTCTTCTTTGTAAAATAGCATTGCATCAACAAGGGCTGCGTTTGATTTTGTTCTCTTATAGGCCTTTTCGGTGTAATCCCCTAACAATAAAGACATTTCTTTATCAGAAACTAATGCAACGTAGAAATCTGAACAGGGTTCTGGACTAGTAGAATATTTTGCCGAACGAAAATCCCAATAGACATCCAATTGATTTCCGTCAACCTGAAAGGTTTTGTACCCTTTCTTTGCCCAAAACTGCCAAGGTTTAAGGTCAATTTTGCATGTCTGATGATCATCACTTTCCCTGGTTGCAACAGATATGCTCAGGGAATGACTAGACAAATCCTTGCTCCATAATATGGTCACATTTCGCCAGTAACCTCCAATATGTGTCTGGTAAAAACATGTAACAGTGTTGCTTGCTGTTTTCTGAGTTACGGGATCATTTGTTAATTTCAGAGCAAGAGGAGGTTGGGAAGAGGATAATGAATAAGCCCTTATGTTTATACGATAAGCCATTCTTGTAATCCTGATCCTCTTCCAATCGAAAGAGAAATGGAATTGATGTCCTTAAAGGTTAAACGGAGCAACCACGATGAAGGAAACAAGAATTAACAAGATTTTTTTTGGCTGCCAAAGCAATTGCATCAGGACAATACAGAAGACAAAGCGAAGAAAGTCAACATATACACAATATTCCTCTTTCCGGACATTCTACAAACACCGTGGATATACTTAGTATTTTTCCTAATAAATTCGTGATCACGAATTCTCTTAGGCTGCAATTGCATCAGGAGAATACAGAAGGCGAAGCAAATAACGCTAACATATACACAGTATTCTTCTTCGAGGACATTCTACAAGCACCATGGATACACTAAATCTTTTTCCCAATAAATTCGTGAATATGAATTCTTTTTTGCTATTCCACTCTACCAAACAAAAGGGTCCTCCAAGAATTCATCAATTCAGGATCCACGACAATGGCTGAATCAATATATGTCTGATATCTTCATAAGGAAAAGGATTCGGACATGAAAGAAATTGGGTTTTCTGCAGGAAAAATTCTGTTGCAATTGTAACATTTACATTTGATTTTGTTTGTGGAGGAATGCTCAGGAATCGATGGCTAAGGCGACAGGTTCCCTGAAAGAAAGGGTTATTTGAATCTTTCTCCTTTTTCCCTTTCTTTCTTGGCTGAGTATAAGCATTGATGTTATATAGGCCAAAGGCGAATTATTGCAAGATCAAATCCGAAATTCCTGTGCTGCGATATCAATCACATTACAAGCACACGATAATGGAGTGCCCCTTTGATAGCATTTAAATAAATTTTCCTTTTAAGGCAGCATTTATAAATAATTTGATCTCAGTAAAATCTAACCATTTATTATTTAAAGTAATATAATTATTTTTTTATTCATTTCCATTCGTAGTTGACGTCTAGAGTTTAGATGAAAGTTCAATGAATAATGTTATTTATCATCATTATTAATTATGCATTACAAACAATAAGGAAGCTTGTCGTCACATAAACTGATACGAGTGCTAAAGTAGCATTGCTCAAGTTTATTTAATTTTTTATTAAAGATAAAGAAATTCAAGAGGGAAGTATTTCAAAATCAATATGAATTTTTGGGTGAAAATAAAAGGTTAGAGACTGTGGGATCAAAAATTACAATTTTGAAAAGGTTAAGGACCCGATTGCAATTTTCTCCTAATTGGAGAATTTTTGTTCGAAAAATGTACGAACTCTCGGGATGCGGCGGCCGATGGCGGTGCCAGACTGACAGTGGCGATTTGAAATGATGAAGGTGAGGCAAGATTTTTTTTTCTTAGATAATTCCTTGATTGATTGAATTAATTTTTATTAACACCTAATTGATTGATTGAATGGATTTTATTTTTTTTTCCGACCAATTATTTCCACCGTTAAAAATGGATATTGTATTAACGGAAGTCCGATTTTCACGGGATGAATTCTTGACTCCGACTTCTCCGATAAGCACTCTCCGGCGGACTATATATACTTACTTTTGCAATACACAGTACATCCTAAATTTTAATATTCTACTTTCAAATAATAAAAATCATATTCATTTCTCAAAATCAAGATTTATTTTCCTCTCCTTTATTTTGAGACAACTTCATTTTCATTCAAGATGACGTTCCTCATTGATCAGCCTAAGCTTGGTAATAATTTTTTTTTATCTATTTCTATTTCTATTAACAATTTAACATTATCATTCAAAATGTACATGGTTTCTGTATTTCTGTTGATTTGAGTTCTGGGTTTTCAATTAAAATTTATGTGTGACCTCTGTTAGTATGCATAAATTGTTTATTATTTCCCTTTTTGGAGGAACAGATGGTGAAGTCAATGAGAAGAAGATCTCTAACAGTGAAGAAATGGATTTGGTATTGGATGGAGGATTTGTAGTCCCCAATGCCAATGCATTTGGCCACACCTTTAGGTCCTTTTACTTCCCTAATCACGTTCGCCACACTGTACCAAACTGCACAATACATTACAATAAACAAGATTTTATCCGCTTTCTTCCATAATCATGTTCAGTACTATCTCGGGCTTAGTAATTTTACTGGAGTAATGTAAAACAGGGATTACAATGCTGAAAGTGAAAGGCAAGAAGGGGTGGAAAACTTCTACAAGACTAATCACATTTGTCAAACTTATGACTTTGTAAGTGCTAGTCGAAAACATTCATCTTCGTTTATTTATTTATTTTTAACATTTTTGCTATTCGAATTCTTACAATTCCTTGATTTGCAGGTGAAGAAGATGAGAGAAGAGTATGGAAAACTGGACAAGGTAGAAATGGGTATATGGGAATGCTGTGAACTTCTCAACAATATTGTTGATGAAAGTGATCCTGATTTGGATGAGCCTCAAATTGAGCACTTATTGCAGACAGCTGAAGCCATAAGAAGAGACCATCCTGATGAAGATTGGCTGCACTTGACTGGCCTCATCCACGGTATTCCCCTGTTCTTGATCCTAAATATGCTACTGTTATACTTTCTAATTTCACGGAAAAAGGCACGGGGAATTTTTATCACAAGGTCTTTGCTTAAAAAACTTCGTTTAAAAGGTTTCTTCTTTCGTCTCAATTCACCCCCTGATTGTATTTGGAATAGAAGTTTTTCGAGTTCAATGGTGGTCAATTAATTTAAACTTGTTTGGATTTTAGATGTTGGGAAGATTCTTCTTCATCCTAAATTCAGCAAGCTGCCTCAGTGGGCTGTTGTGGGTAAGTATTACAGCAAATGCAGTTGAACTGAAAATTAGAACAAAACAGTAACTTTTTGAAACTCAATTGCTAAATATCTATACGAGTACATATTACAGGTGACACCTACCCTGTTGGATGTGCTTTTGATGATTCAATTGTTCACCACAAGGTATTTTTCCTCTCCAACGTAATTTGAGCAAGAATTAACTTTCGCCTACATATTTCTCTGCTCAACTTTAATCACATTTCTCAAGAGTTCTGAAATGTGTTTTTGTGCTTATGATGTAGTATTTCAAGGAAAATCCCGACTTCAAGAACCCTAAGTACAATACCAAAAACGGAGTTTACAGTGAAGGTTGTGGACTTGAGAACGTTTTGATGTCATGGGGGCATGATGACTACATGTATATGGTACTTGTTCAAACCCTCGATTGCATCTTTGCTAAGTTGGAATGTACATTACTAGACAATAATAAGTTAAAATCTTATGTTTTACTGTACACTTGTCCAGTATTACTGGGACAATCTTGATGTTGTGATATCCCTTGACAAAACAACAAAAGCACAGGTTTTTAGTGAGGTACTAATAAACTCTTTTTCAGGTGGCGAAAGAAAATAAAACTACTTTACCCTCAGCTGGTCTTTTCATTATCAGGTTCCACTCATTTTACGGTAAGTAAATTAAAAAAATGGTAAATATGCAATGTACCTCAATGATTCAGAAGGATGCCTATCGATGCACATAGCATCTTCATATAATGATTCCATCGTGCAGCTATGCATAGGTCAGGAGCTTACAAACACTTGATGAACAAGGAGGACATGGAGAATTTGGAATGGCTAAAAATCTTTAAGTAAGATCGCTAGTATCGATACAAAGAAGAAAACAGTCATTCATATGCGCAGTTGTCATATGCCTCATTCTTTGTTTTCTTCTTCCTTTTCTACCCCTACAGCAAGTATGATCTATACAGCAAGAGTAAGGTCAGAGTCGATGTCGAGAAAGTCAAGCCATATTACCTCTCTCTCATTGAAAAGGTGAGATCAAGTTTCTGAACTATTCCCCACCCCTTGTTCACGCACAGTGTACAATGACATTTTAACATAATATTGATATGTTTTTTGCAGTATTTTCCAGTAAAGCTAAGGTGGTAAGATGATGGATGTTTTGAGAAGTTAATGATATGCGATGATTATAGCAAGGTTTCCAGCGTAATAATGTACATATTCTTTGATGTTCTGCTCTCAGGTTTACCGGGTAAAAACAACATAAATTATAAATAAAATATTTTTTGAGTTTAAACTGAGTATTGCAGCATTTGTTTGAAACTTTTATTTGTTTGAAACTTTTTGAATACCACGCTTCGAGTTGTTACAACTCAACGTTTGTGCGGGCATATTTCTCCGAAATTTCCCATATCCAACTGATTTGGCTAGTTCTATTTGATTATGCCAAAATTTTGTTTGCGACCTATGACTCTTTACCTTTCTCGGATAATGTTCGAACTTACATGATTTGGATTTCACCTCTTACAAACCTAACCTTTTTAAGATGAAATCTCGATACTTATATATGTCCAAACAAGCAATTTGATTCATTTAAAACTCAATCGATCAGTCGAGGTGTAAGCTTAACGTTTGCAAATGATCCACCATCTTAGGGACTACATGTTAAGGATACAATTCTGCACCACTTAAATACTGCTCTTAATACTATTAGCACATTGATAAATGTCAAAACTCAAAAACATTTTTATTAATTATCATTACTTTTCATGTTTAACAGCTTGAGCATGAATATTGTGTTTCCATTCGTTGTCATTAATTAATTTATCTTGGCGAACCATCATTGTTCAAGAAAGTATAGGTCGACTTTAAGGACGTGTCAATTGACTATACAACTTCTGCTTAGATAAGGTTTTTTACGTGACAGACAACTTCACACATTTTGACACATCTAACTTAAAGAGCAATCTTATAATGTGTATTTTAGTATACTTATTCTTCCCAAATTCTCTGTGACAAGCAAATTGTAAAGACGGGTCGATGATATAACTAACATATGAAGAAACACAAAATATGCGACAAAGGTATTACTAGCTCTCGAGTTAAATGCTAAAACTCAAATAGTTTCATCCTAATTTATCATTTAAGTGGAAAAACAAGAAATTTCAAGTGGTGCATAAACTATTAAGTTTCAAGACTGAAATCTTGATGCATCATCTGTGTCTCGTACCATCCTAGTGCAGTTGAAATCTTGATATATATTATCTAACATTTCTAAATTTACCAAGTAAACGGTAAAATTAAAATAACATTCAAAATCCAAATCATTATTTCACATACGTACTAAGAAATGAGTAATCAAGATTAAAAGCAAGGCTTTTACCAATTGTGATTATAAATAATAATAATAATACCTGCTTGAAAATGGAATAATATCTTAGCAGGCATTGAATAAGAGAGAATTGCCCATGCTTCCAAAATACCAAGTAAAAACAAAATGAGATGCGACAAAAATAAACCAAAATATTCAGAAATCACCAACAACACCGGGGAACACAATGAACTTAATCAACCTCCTCAATCTTGGGACCAGGTCCGGTGCTACCACTAGGAGCAGGGCCCTCATCATCCATGGCGGCACCACCCATATCACCACCAGCACCCTGGTACATCTTTGCAATGATAGGATTGCAGATGCCCTCCAACTCCTTCATCTTGTCCTCGAACTCATCAGCCTCCCCAAGCTGGTTGCCTTCTAGCCATTGGATTGCCTGCTCAATTGCATCCTCGATCTTCTTCTTGTCGTCAGCTGGGAGCTTGGAGGCAATCTTCTCATCCTTCACAGTGTTCCGCATGTTGTATGCATAGTTCTCCAAGGCATTCTTAGCCTCGACCTTCTTCTTGTGTTCTTCATCCTCGGACTTATATTTTTCTGCTTCCTGAACCATCTTCTCAATTTCCTCCTTTGAAAGTCTACCCTTGTCATTGGTGATAGTGATCTTGTTCTTCTGGCCAGTGGTCTTGTCCTCAGCAGATACGTTTAAGATACCGTTGGCATCAATGTCAAAGCACACGGTAATCTGTGGAACACCCCTAGGGGCAGGAGGAATGCCAGAGAGCTCAAATTTACCAAGAAGGTTGTTGTCCCTGGTCCTTGTTCTTTCTCCTTCATAGACCTGAATCAAGACACCAGGCTGGTTGTCTGAGTAGGTAGAGAACACCTGCTCCTTCTTTGTTGGGATGGTTGTGTTCCGGGGAATCAAGACGGTCATGACACCACCAGCAGTTTCCAGACCAAGAGAGAGAGGAGTAACATCCAAAAGCAAAAGATCCTGCACCTTCTCGTTACCCTCACCACTCAAAATAGCAGCCTGGACTGCAGCACCATAAGCAACAGCTTCATCGGGGTTGATGCTCTTGCATAGTTCCTTCCCATTGAAGAAGTCCTGCAACAATTGCTGGACCTTGGGAATCCTAGTGGAACCACCAACAAGGACAACATCGTGGACAGTACTTTTGTCCATCTTAGCATCACGTAGACACTTCTCTACTGGTTCCATGCACTTTCTGAACAAGTCCATGTTTAGCTCCTCAAATCTTGCACGAGTGATGGTGGAGTAAAAATCAATACCCTCGTATAGAGAGTCTATCTCAATGGTGGTTTGGGCAGTGGATGAGAGAGTTCTCTTTGCTCTCTCACAAGCTGTCCTCAATCTCCTGAGAGCCCTGGGGTTACCAGTGATGTCTTTCTTGTTCTTTCTCTTGAATTCTTGAACAAAATGATTCACCATTCTGTTGTCGAAGTCTTCACCTCCAAGGTGAGTGTCACCAGCAGTTGCCTTCACCTCAAAGATACCCTCCTCGATGGTCAGAAGAGATACATCAAAAGTACCACCTCCGAGATCAAATATCAGCACATTCTTCTTTACGCATCACATTCAGACCAGAAATCACACCAGCATCCTTGGTTGCTTGACGTTGGGAATCGTTAAAGTAAGCTGGGACAGTGACCACAGCATTCTTAACAGTTGAACCAAGGAAAGCCTCAGCAATTTCTTTCATCTTAATTAAAACCATGGAAGAGATTTCCTCAGCTGCAAATTGCTTCTCCTCACCCTTGTAGTTGACTACAATCATTGGTTTATCACCAGGTCCAGGAATGACTTTGAAGGGCCACAACTTAATGTCACTCTGCACAGAGGCATCACTAAATCTCCTACCTATCAACCTCTTGGCATCTGTAAAAATGCAGAAAGACATGAATAAATTAATTTAAACAATCGAACAATTTAACCCAACCCACAGCAGATAACAACAAACACAATTATCATTTTAATTTAACAGCTTGAAAAAATATTGCAGCAATGGCTAGTTTACAGTTGATACATCAGAACATTGTTCTCTGGATATACAAACTAAAACATTTTATTACAAGCTAGATGAAAAACAACACCGAGCCGACACATTTTTCTATTATCAACTTACAATCCATTTTAATGATGCAGAACTAGATAAAAAATCAAGAGAAAAACAACACAAAGATCACGTCTTTTAATTATCAATTTCAGATTATCATTTTAATGGGGCGCGACTAGACAAAAAAGAATCCTCAGATAAATATGCCTATGAATAATTAGAATTGACATTGTTGAAGTATATGGTTTACCATTGAAAATAATTTACAAGTAAAAAACAAATAATGACGCTAGTTTAGGCTTTCCCGTAATACCAAGATCTTATGCAACCAATAATGAATCAACGACAAAAGGTTATAGAGATTCACACAAGAATACTTTTGTCCACTTGTTGAAGTCATATTTAGTATTGTTCAAAACTAAATCAATGGAATGAAAAAGAAAATACATAACAAATCACATACAAATGTAAGCACAAACTTCAATAATTTTAAATCATCAAAGGAGAAGGCCAAACTAGATCTATACTGTAAGCTCGAGCAACTAAGCACATATCCTATACCAGTCATCATCACCAAGTTAACGAAGCATTAACAAAGATAATAGATCTACAATATAAAAAGCATAGAAGCAAATGCATTTTAACATTTTCAATCACAGATCTAGCAGAATAACACAGAAGGAGCGGAATAAAACTCATATGTGCATATATAAACTTTAAAAAGAACAGATCTTACCAAAGACAGTGTTCACCGGGTTCATGGCAACCTGGTTCTTAGCGGCGTCACCGATTAGCCGCTCGGAATCGGTGAAAGCCACATAAGAAGGCGTTGTTCTGTTTCCTTGGTCATTGGCAATGATTTCCACCCGGTCATGCTGCCACACGCCAACGCAAGAATACGTTGTTCCGAGGTCAATTCCGATCGCTGGTCCCTCTCCTTTGCCTGCCATTGATGACTATTCACTCAGATCTGAATCGGCGATCTTTTTTCACGTGGGAGAGAGAGAAATTTGTTAATTGAAACTAGGGTTTCAAGATATGTAGAATGAGGTTGAGAATTGGAGAGTATATATAGGTACAACTGAGTCTGCCATTGAGTTTTTTTTCGGGTTCGAGAATGTTCGAATAGATACTAGCCGTTGGATTCGTTGTGGAAAAAGTATTTGACGGTGTTGGATTCTATCCGTTAATTTCGGTAAACAAATGGTAGCCCTGGCCACACGCGTTGCGGGATTCCTTCGAACTTGAATGGAAAATTCTACTTGTACAATCGAGGTTGACAACTTCGATTGACAACTTCTCACATGTGTACAAGTCCACATGTTTAAAAAATGAAAAAAAAAAAAAAGTGAACGCTCCTCATGTGAGCGGTTGTACACGTAGCAGAGCCCAACTTGAAAATGAAACTATTAGACTATGTTTGATAGCATAGATTTTTCATGAAATTTCCATCTTTTACTTTGTTTGATAGACAAAGTTTTTTCTATAATTAATTTTCTTGCTTTACCTCACGTGCTTACAATTTATTTGATTTTGTGGAAAACCAATTCC